GCAAGCAACAACTCATATGAAGGATGTATTTAGTGTATACAGTATGAAAAACAAGCCGATTTGAAGTATCAGAGTTAAGAGTCATATTTCCTGTACATTAGAAAGATCTTTTCTTTTCTTTTTCTTTCTTTTTTTTTGTGGTCTGTTGTCTTTGTTATTAAAAGATTCCTAGGTATTTTTTTTAATTTAAAGGTTTATTATTACATATTTGCAGTACATGTGATTGCAGTCTTCTTAGGGAATTGGTACATGTACCTAAAGCATCTTAATTCTTTATTCATCCCTGCCTCTTCCCCATTCCTCCCTCCGTCTTTGGTCTCCTTCTCTTTTTATACTACATGTATGTTATTAAGGAACTTAAGGCATGTAGACATAGAAACAAATTTTAGAAGTTGGTTGTGTATGGCTTTTGTTCCAGGGACTCCAGCAAGTGCATTAATTCTGACTTTATAGATTTGAAAGTATGATGGCTAAGGATATCATATGTTTGTTATTAACCCAGTGTTTAAAAGTCTCCTGCATTTGCCATTGCAACTATAGTTTTGTCAGAACTAAATTCAAACAAATTTTTCACACCTATTTCCAAAATAATTATGTCCTTTTTTTTTTTTTTTACCCCTTAGAATCTGCTCATTCCTACTTCAGTGTATGTTTGTGCAGTGTAGCCAAGCCTTTTTCACAGTCATGTGGGTCATAATTGAGCAATGGAGTAATAGTGATAACTTATAGATTAAGCATGTTCTTTAGTGACTTTTTTGTTTCTTTTGTCCTTTGGTCATTTTCTAGCTTAGGAGTCATACCCAACTGGAAGGAAGTATGGAAAGTTAAGGTGGCTTGCTTTTTACTAGTAGATTTTCATATTCGCTTTGGGGGTATATTGATTTTATATCTCTGATGTATTTCACCACCCTGAAAGAAAGCTCATACCCTTTAGCTTCCACTCTCAACTTATCTGTCTTAACCCCAGGCAGCTATGGGCTATTTCCTGTTTCCCATCTGTTCATATAAATAGCGTATGTGGCCGTGTGTGACTGGCATCTGTTAGCTAGTATGATGACTTTGCGACTCATCCACACAGTAGCACATGTGAGAACTTCACTCCTCAGTGGCAGGCAACTCCATTATCCATTGAGAGGCTGTTCCACCTGGCATCTGCTCCTTCATCTATTTATGGACACTTAGCATATTCCCTAGTTTGGCCATTATGAGTAACACTTCTATGAATGCTTTTATACTGTTCTTGGGTGGCCATGTGTCTCCTTGGACAAGTGGAATTGTTGGATCAGAGGGTAACTCACACAACTTACTTTGTACATGCTATCCATCAGAGTTGGAGGCTCTGATCTCTCCAGTTTCATTAACACTTCTTCTCTGACTTATTCCTGTTAAGAATTTATATAGATTGAGCCTCCTTGAAACATGAAGTAATTTAAATCCCTAGTATGTTTCTTTATGATTTAGTAGTAATATGTATGGTTAAGTTTTCTCATAGTAAATGCAGTGTCCTCTAAATGACCTGCCTTTTCCAACTGTCCTTCTTTACCACTGAAAGTATGTCCTCAGCAGATCCTTTCTGGTTAAGGGAGACAGTAATGTGAGAGTAAACAGTGAGCTGAGGTGCGAGGAAATTCCAAATAGCAACAGACAGTTGATTCGGCCCCTCTGTTACCTGCTAGGATTAGACTTAAGTAGTTATTCATGTAGATCATTTACATAACTCTTAGGTCATATAACAGTGGAGAGTATGATTCTAAACTTAGGTTCTAAGATCATGATTCCTCAGCAATGTATTTTTCACAAAGCTTCTTAAGCTATCCAAACTTCAGTTCTTTTAGCTTGTACGTGAAATAGAAATTACAACAATAGCTACCTGAAAGAGTCATCAGGAAGTTTAAATGAGTTACTTAGTAAATGAGCAGTAAACATGAGCTATTATCATACTTTTATTTGTCAGATTTACTTACTACTAGAGGATATACTTAAATGCTTGGGCAATTATAGTGAAAGCCAGCATCATATCCTGCATTTTTCAAAGTAATTATTGTTCTATAGGTAGGATTTATTTGACTGTTGTTAAATACTAATACCATATTGTATTACTTTAACCACAAGTAAATGGGGCTATGGTCATAGTCATTTTACATAAATTATAATGACTTAACTTTTTTATTCTAAATTTATAATCAGTGTAGCTTTCATTTTACAAAATGAGATTTACAGGTGAGAAATGTAGTAATGATGAACGAGAATTTTTTATATATTTAAGTAGTATTTTCCATCTGTTAAAAGAATGCTCTCTGTGGAATTGTTTCTGTCAGCACCACAAACTGAAATTTATACCTCAAAAGGAGTCATTTTACCTAGTTTGGAATATTTTGTGATCACAAATATATTAATAAAATTTATATTATAGATCACAAATGTTATAATGAGTTCAATTATGTAGAAACATGTTGGAAAATTTAGAACAGTTTCCCATGGGTTAACAAAGGATTTATGTTAAAGAATTTTATAGCATTGGCTACTATGTCCAGTATACTTTAAATGGAATCATATTTTAATTTAGTATGCTTAGTATGTATCAGCAAATAGATTGTGTTGAGATTACAGATGGGAATAAAACATGATTTCACATGAAAATGTAGAAATTTCAGGGATGCAAAGTGTGTTAGGAAAGTACAGGGAACAAAATATAATAACCCTATAAGGAGAGGCTATAGAAGGTAAAGAGTTCAGAAAATAATTCTGAGATAAGGAATTTAAACTGAGAGTTTAAGGATGATTATCACAAAAGAAGGGAGTTGGAAGTAAAATGTGATCTTCAGTGCAGAGGAAGTCATGTGTAGCCAAGCAGTGGTAAGAGAAAAACTCCGCATTGAGTAGATGAGCAGAATGGTCAAGTGGTACTAAGGAAGAAAACACTTGAGAACATAGCTAGTAACAACTGAGGCTGTATAAGCACCAGCCCTGATGCTCCTATGGAGCTAGTAAAGGTTGTGAACTTTCTCTGAAGGGAAAGGAAAATTTGAAGGCAAGAGAGAATCATGGGAGGATTTTTAAGCAACATTTTCTTTTCACATTGGCATTCTAGAAAATTCCTCTGGCAGCAGAGTTGGAGATAGGTTGAAAGAGAGCCTGTCTGGAGGGGGAAAACCAATTAGAAGGCAGTTATAATAGGGACCATTATGAATTAAGGCAGCAAGCGTGAGAAAGAAACAGAAAATTGGAGAATTTTGAATTTTATTTAAAAGACAACATTGACAGGATTTGGTGACTCATGTCATTCTGAATGAGTGTGGAAGCAGCATTATTTCAAACACTGAAGATAGCGGTGCGGTTCTGCTGAGTGGAGAGTTTAGAGGGAGAACGAGTAAGACAAGAAGTAACATCTCACAGTGGATTTTATAGAGAGAGCCACCTTAATATCATGGGTTTTCCAAACAGAGTTAATCAGAAACCCATTTTTAAATTTCTGAAAGTGTAACTTGAAAGTAAAGTTTGCCGAGATGTCATCCTTTATGATTACTAAGTATTTTGGTAAAGGTCTGTAATTTAAATTAAAATAAAGGGGAAAGAGAAATGCTCAGAAAATACAATTAGAAAGTGCCAAGAAAACGGAGACCAGAAAAAGATTCCTGAGAATGGTACAAATGTAACATGTGGAAATGAAATACCACAGAAGCTAAGGGACCCAAATGGTTAAGAGACAGAGGTCTTAATATAAGAAGAAGAAATAGCTGGAAACATACACCAAAGTGCCGAGAGTGGCTACTTCTAGAATGTGGAGTTAATGAGAATAGCATGAAATAGAATTTTAATTTTTTTTTTGTATTTAGTATAAGGTCTGCAGGGTATACAGGGTATACAGGGTCTTACTACATAGATCAGACTTGTATTGATAGTCCTGTTTTCAGCTTCCCAAGTATTTGCGATTACAGGTGTGTGCCACCACACCCAGTCTCAACTGCTACCTCAGTGCGTCCCGGGGGTAGGGCCGGCACAGCAGACTGGGGATTGAACCCCCAACCCCTGTGTCTGCCTAAGCAGGCACTTCAATTCACTGAGCTAATCTGGCCAGCCCTTTTAATTTGGTATTTGAATTTCTAAGGTACAAATGTGTTTAAAAACCTTACTATATATGTTTTGTATTTTTATATGCTTAACTTCTTGTGTTTTTTAAAAAAAAATTTCAAACTATCTTAATATAAATTATAGCCAATTGAAAATAAAAAAAAAAACAAAATCATATGCTTAATCAGAACAGAAGGAGGGAAAGGGCAGCATAGAATGGTCAACAATGTCATTCTGCAGAGAGGTTAAAAAAGATGAGGGCTGACAGTAACCTTTTAGCTTGGTATTTAGATTTGGCCACAAGTAACCTTATTAAAAACAGTTTCAGTGAAAGGCTCGGGCCAGAAGGTGGACCTCATTGGTGGGAAGCTGAAAGGGAGAAGAGGCACGTAGTCATATTGTAAAGGAGAAGCTTGAGTGTGAAAGTAGAGGGGAAACTAGAGAGCGATTTGGGGCCACAGATAGATAAACTGTTCTAGTTCAACATCCTTCTGGAGTAAAAGTTCCACAGAGGCTGACTGTGAGTCACCTGAAAATGAAGCAGCTGCTTTTCAGGCCCGTTTTTGCAGATTCCAGCTTGTGTAAAAGTTGAATTTGCAGGTTGTAGAAGGAAGCGAAGAAGTTGCTCAGCAAGATTCTTTGAGGGAAGTGCCCTGAGCTTATTTCTGTGCGAGAGGTACTCGTCAGTAGAGGGCAGCAGCCCTAAAGCACGGAAATGAGTGGATGTACCGATGAAAAGAACATTCCTTTAACTTAGAAAGTAAATTTGACTGTTTCAGAGAATGAAGTTTGAGAACAAAATGCAACATTTGCCATATTCCCAAGGCCAACCTAAATGATATATTTTAAATATGTTTATATTGAAAAAAATTTATCAGATGATCTGAATAAAGATAGTGAATTTCTCTCCTTTTTTTTTTCTTCTAAAGCCGAACAACAACTTATCCTTACACAGAAACGCAGATGTACAGCCAAAACACTGGAGGGAATTATTTTGATACTCAAGGGAGTTCCGCACAGGTGACTACCGTGGTCTCCTCCCACAGTATGGTGGGCACTGGTGGCATTCAAATGGGCGTCACCGGAGGACAGCTTATCAGCAGCTCTGGAGGAACCTATCTGATTGGCAATTCAATGGAAAATTCTGGTCACTCAGTGACACACACCACTCGAGCCTCCCCAGCAACAGTAAGTATTTTGCAATTTTATTTTCTGAGTTTAGTTCTTCTATTGTACATTTTTCCTCTGTGAAAGGAAAAGAACTACAGAGATGAGACTGGTGCAGAGCATGTTAAGCAGTGTTAGTATTGTGTCAGCATTCAGAATGTAACATACATGGTACTATACCGAATGTTCCTGAGAAGTTTTCATCAGTAATGGGCAGTTAGGTGAGTTTTACTCACAATGTTGCTGATTTTATTTTATTTATTTTTTTCTACCTTCCTCTCACCCATGAAACAGGAATCAAAGAACAGTATAAGCATTAATTCTAGGTGCAGCTAATAAGAGTTTCAGAAAATTATACAAAAGGAAAAGCACTCTAAGAATAGTTCAAGTTAATCTGTAAAAGTACTTAAACATTTCTTTACATTTATTTATTTTTTCCATAATTTTATTGAGAAACAAATAGCAATGAGACAGTGTCAAATCAAATTGGTAGGACACTTTCAATAATTAACACAAGTTGCTGATTTTAATAGAATTATTCATTAAAATACTTTAAATTTCTACTGAAAGAACTTATTTTTGTATTTAGCTTACTTTGTAAAAGGCAGTCAGTAAAACAGAATAATATGTAGTTTATTTGGAATGTTCACATCTTTTAGGAGTAGTATTTCTGTCATCAGCAGAGAACTTGTATTATGTAAAGCACTGTTTTCTAAACTTTAGTCATGTAGGTTTTTCTATATTCACATGCACTTGCATTATTATTCACTTAGCATCTTTTAAACCAACTCACTTGTAACAGAAAAACCACATGTAATTGTTTTTAAGTATGTATTGAAATCGGTACTTAGATAATAAAATAAAAAATAAATTTACCCCTATTCTATATGAAAGCCATGTTACATTACACCAGAGAGACACTTTGAGAATCACTAATACAGGTGATTCATACATTAAAAAAAAAATGTGTACCAACTCTGACTATACTAATGGGCAAATAACATACTAGGGATATATCTACATATATGAGTTTTTAAAATTTTAAATGTTTTATTTATTTTCACATAAAATATCATAATGTGTTGAAATGATATCAGCAATAGCCATAGAGAGTTGCATGGAATTTGGTATCATCAAAGTCTGTAAACCAAACTTCCCTCAGCTAAGCCTGTAGAGAAAACTGATCACTTCAGCCAAAATTGCAGTGGTTGATTTTCTGCATGTTTCGTATGCAAATGTGTTGAGCATCTGAGTGAAGGAAATGTACTCTTTCTTCCCATAAAATTGAGTAGAGATAAATTTGGGAGAACATGTGAGAAGTTTATAGTTATCATTTCAATGTGTTTTCCTCAAGATACTATATGCATGTGGTAAGTACTTTGAATATTTGTACTGATTACCTGTGTTTATATTTTCATCATTTAATGCCTTTTCTGTCACTCATTTTTAAAGGCTTTATTTTTATTTTATCATTTTTTACTAACATTGGAACTGGTAACTGTTCTGAATAGAATGTTTCTTTTTGTAATTTCTTTATGTTTTTCAAGGATTCTTCTGTGTACTTATCTCCTGTTTTTAATGATATCAAAAATAATATTTCTAAGTCTTTTAGTCATATAAACATGTCTATATAAATGAGAAACTAAGGAGAATTGACTTCTCTAGATCTCAGATCACCTATTAATAAAATAAAAGATTAATTAGAGTAAGTGATTTCCTTCTTTTCTCTTGTCTTTAAAGTCATTGTTGTTGGGGTTGGGGAGAGAGCAGTCTAAGCACCTGCCTGGCAAGCACAAAGACTGGAGTTCTATCCCCAGGACTGCATGCTGTTCTCGCCCCAGAACCCAGGGGCACTGTACCAGCTCCCAAACCAGGCGCTGTGGTGTACGCCTGTAATCCCAGTGCTGGAAGGCTAAGACAGGAAGGTCACTAAGGGTCTGAACTGCGTAGGAAGACGGACCTTGTTTCTGATAAATAAATAAAATTTAAAAAATAGAAAAATAAAAGTCATAGTTATAAAATAATTTTAAAATAACCTAGATACAAGAATAACTGTTTCGGGCTGGGGAGATAGCCTAGTAGAATAAGCACCTGGCAAGCGCAAATTCCTGAGTTCAACCCTGATACCACAAACAAAACAAAAGAAATCAAAACAAAATACAATTGTTTCTTTATCTAAAAAAGAAAAGAGATAGAAAAAAGATGCCAGTATATTAGAACATTGATAATAAAGGCCACCTGGAAAGTCATTTTTAGTGAAAAGGAAAATACTTGGAATTTTTATTTCCTAAGGCTAGGAAAATGAAAAATCAGGAAAGGTGTTTTTTTCCCCACTTTCGTTTGCCATCCTGTCTTAGATAGTTTTTCTGTGACTGAGACGAATTACCCAACACTGAAAGTTAAAGGAGCAAAGGTATATTTCAGCTTAAAGTTTGTAGAGGTTTCAGTCCATAATCACCTGGCTCCAATGCAAGGTAGATGGCAGACAAGAATCACAGAGAAGAAATCATTCATGGCACAGAGAAGGTAGCAGAAGCAACAAAGAAGAGGCCTTAACAATGTCTTTCTACCCCACTTATCTTATTAAGGCTACTTAGGGTGGGTAGCAGTCAATCATTAATCCTAGTGCCCTTGAATTTAGGTTTAAGTTCGAGGGTCCCGTACTCTAGATCTAGCACCTGTGATAAAGCCCCAGCTGTGACCGCGTGAAGCTTTGAGGAGCCTTCTAGACACAAGCCATAATGCATATCATCCTTCCAAGCCATCTCCTCTTCCGCACCTTCTCAAGCCATTCTCACTTGCCTTAACGTTAATTTTTCACCACCTATTAAACATCCTAGCAACTGGATTTAGGTTTTATTATGGTTATTATAGTTGTAAGCACTAAAAGTATATATTTTAGGGTTTTTTTAGGGGAGTAAGGGATTCCCTTTGGATTTCTGTATCATGTATGAAATATAGCATTACTCTTTAAGTTATCCAGTAAAGAAATTGATGTGTGGTTTTTTTTTATATTCATTGGTAAACTAAAATATATAAAATAATTGAATTATAGTAACTGGGAATACTTGAAAATAGCAACTCATATCAGTTACATGTATCAATTTTCCCTTAAAAGATCCATATTTGAGGTTTGTTTTATTAAAGCTGAAAGATGTAAAATAGCTGCAGCATTTTCTTTCTTCAAGAATATTTCGGGGGCCAGTGAAATAGCTCAGTGGTCTAAAGAGCCTGCCTAGGCAAGCTTAGGCAAAACACAGGGCATGATCTCCAGTACCACATGCCATACCACCCTGCCCCTAGTGCACGCTGAGTGGGGGAGGGGTTACTTTTTAGGCCAGGGAGATAGCTCAGTGGCAAGGGCCTGAGTTTGATCCCTGGTACCAAAACAAAACAAAACAAAACAAAACAACAAACAAGCAAACAAAAAAAACACAACCATATATTTCCTTTTGAACCAAAGAAATAAGACACTAAAAAAGAAAGATGTTTTTATGGAAAAATCATAAAGTACTCTTCTCACACCTGTTTGGTGGTACACACTTACCTCTACCACTGTCCATTGTATTACCTTGCATTTAGTTATCAGGACGTCTGTTTGATTTAGAGTTCCCTTTTGGTGGTACTAAAGATTTGTACTGGCTTGACTTACAGTGAGTTTGTGATGATTAGTTTATAGTTTTACATTTTACTAAAGTTAATAAGATTTAAGTACTATAAACTTACTGAATATTTTCTACCATCCTTTTGTTTTCAAATGTTAGGAAATCTGTAGGTTTTTAGTTGTTTTAACTCCTAATAATTTTTCTTTAATAAGTTCTAGGTCATTAAAAGGAATTCTCTTGATACTATGTCTTTTTCATTCACTATAGAACCATAAAATACATATGCACACGATTTTGGCAACTTGTTGGTCAAGACTCAAGTCTTTTTTTTTCTAAACATTGAGCCAAACTATGTCATGTAAGTTCAGTGTTTTTGCCTGTTCTCTGTTGTTCAGCCTATAATCTGTAGCATGGCCAATACAGCTGATCATGTAGGAGTAGCCTATATTATAGCCAAAATTTGTGACAGCAAACAGTACAGTCAGCCTTCTCTACCCACAGTTTCATATTGATTGATTCAATTAAGCTGAGATAGCAGTAAAATCTCATCTGTCTTGAACATACATAGGTGTCTCTTTCTTGATATCTTCCCTAAATGATACAGTAACTATTTACCAAGCATTTACACTGTTATTATGCCTAATGCAGAGATAGTTTAAAGCACAAAGGCAGATATTTACTGTTAAATAAAATATTTTATCATTCATTGCTTTCAGTATCAGAAGGCGTTCCCTTCTAAGGGGTTCCCTCAACTGGGACTATTTCTTCAGGGCACAGAAATAAGTGGAATAGATCATCAATTCGTTCAGTCATTGTGAAACTAGTGGACTTGGATACTTCGAAATAGCAACTCACTATCTTTGTTCAACTTTTGCCTAGCAAAGAGTTTTGCTACAGTTCTCAAAAAGTTTATTGACTCCCTTTTATGCTTGACTTGTTTCTGTACAGAAATACTGTCATTTAAAAATTCTAGGAATAATTTTCTGCCACAAAGAAAAGTATGCTTTGGGGGCCAGGGAAGTAGCTCAGTAGAATAAGCGCCTGCCTGGCCAGTCCAGGGTCCTGAGTTCAATCCCCAGTACTGGGGTAGGGGGGTAGGGAAGAAAGAAAACAAGAAAGAAAAGTTTCCTTTAATGTACAAATAGATTTTCAGTTTATGCTAATGAAGAAAGCTTATGATTTGAAATAAGAGGTGTTAATAGGAAAAAACAAAAGATTAGCACTTGAAATATTTAATAAGTAACTTAGAATTATTTCTACGTAATATCTCTTAATCATTCACATAATTTTGATTTATGACTTACTTTAGTTACATAACTTTAAGTGAAAATTTATTTTTCAGAAAGATACTTCATTTTTGGCTTCTGCATTGCATTTTCAGTTTTCAAGGTACTTAGAATATCGTTTCTAAAAAGA